GGAGAGGTGGGATCTATCAGAATTGAAAGCACCAAGGCTGAGGATAGGATATTAAGCCTTTCCTTTTTCCCTTAGTCCAAATGAAAATTCCCCAAATTATTCCTAGATTTGGGAGTGAAGCTTCCATTCATCTCATAAATGTGATGATGTTAATGTGTGATTTATAGGATGACATAATTAGCTTCTACCATGCACACAGTGTTTGAAGCCCAGCTTGGAAAAATTACTTTTTTGACCTACAAGTCTCAGGATTTGCCAGCCAGTATGCCCATGGGCCATCTGGGACCCAAGTTTGGGAACTACTGGTTTAAAAGTAAGAATGTTGTTTGGTGAAACACAGCTATGTTTCCTTTGGCAACCCTACATAAACCATGTGCCACAGCCCTGATGAACAGTATAAAGCAGGGATCATCAACCCCCAGTCCACGGCCCAGTGCCGGTCAGTGGGTTAGCTGGAACTGGGCTGCAGAAACAGATCTGCCCCCCCCCGCGGAGGGGGCGTGTCGCGCTTGCTGGTGGGCATGGGCCTTCATGCTAATCATTTCCCCAGTGCTCCTTGCAGGAGAGCAGCACCCCTTCCCTGCAGGGAAGCGCCCCGACGCAGGGCTTTGCTTCTTTGCTCACTCGCTCCCCACCCTCCCTCTCCAGCAGCCACTCTCCCTCCCCCTGCCTCCCTGTGTCCTCCTTCATCTGGAAGAAGCTGGATGTGGAGCTACTTTGCAACTCTTGCCTCCTGGAGGCAGCGCTTCCTCCGCGTGCCCTGCCAGCCTGTCTGCAAAGTTGCTCCATCTCTCTCTCCCCCACTTCTGGCTTTGGCTATTGCCATCTCTCCCGCTGCCCACCCCCCACCCCCGCAAGTAGCTCCACATCCCGGCTCCTTGCAGATGAAAGAGGACACAGGCAGGCAAGGGAGGGGGGAGAGCAGCTGCTTGTTAGCCGGCTGCTCCCTGGGGAGGGACGGTGGGGAGCGAGCAAGCAAAGAAGCAAAGCCATGCATCGGGGTGCTTCCCAGGCTGGCTGCCCCATGGCGGCTTCCCTGCAGGGAAGGGGTGCTGCTCTCCTGCAGGGGGCGCTGGGGGAAGGGTTAGCATGAAGGCCACACACCCATCTGCATGCGTGACATGCCCACCAGCGAGCATGACACACCCACCGGTGAGCGCAGGACACCCCATCCCCCAACCGGTCCGTGCATGGAGCACACAGCCCCCCCGCGAAATGGTCTGGGGACCAAAAACAGTTGGGGACCACTGATACAGAACATATAATATCTTGCGAGTATTATTTAAAAACATAATAAGCAGAGTTTGTAGAACAAAAAGTTTTATTTTTTTAAAAAAAGAAAAAAAAACTTGAATGTATAGGAAAATAGAAGAACAGCGTTCCAAAATGTTAATTATTTAGCTAAGAACTATAAGCCTTCTTTATAACTTTAAATGCTTTCTGCCCCTTCTAGATATTTAGATAGGCACCTATTTTGACAGAAGAACTAATAATATGCTATTGTTAGTTTCAAATTCCCTAACTCTCTCTCTCTCTCTCTTTCTCTCTCTCTCTCTCTCTCTCTCTCTCTCTCACACACACACACACACACACACACACACACACACACACACACTTAT